GGGGGGGGGGGGGCTTAGGATAGAAACGACTCTTGCAAATTTCTCGGATTTTATAGGTAACAACGTATCCTAGTAGTCAGAAACGTGTCTAGTAGTACAACATGATAGCACCGATACCATAAAAAACGGTCTATATCCTGACTTATCGCCGAATGAATATTCAGTGATTCTACAGAAGCATCCTTTGTTAAAGCTGTTTCTCACCAGGATGGCCATTGTCAAATGAGTACAGCCATTTTTGCGTTGCTTTAAGAAGAAAAAAAAAAAAGAAAAAAAAAAGAAAACACTGTCATTTCGTCGGATCACAACAATTGGTGCACCTTGATCCCGTCTGATAGAAGCAACGGAGAATAAGATCGATTTAAATATCGTTCGTGTCGTGTTTTCATTCAATGAGAAATTTCATCCAAAAAAAGAAACGAGAAAGAAAGAAAATTTTAATCGTGAATAATTGAATACAACACGCGTGATGGAATGAATATTTTATTAAAAAAAACATGACGTTAAAAAAGTAACTCGTGGTGATAACATTGGAAAAAACCTTCATTTGCGGACAAATGTTTGCGTTGTCACGCAGTTTGCAAATATAAATTTCAAATTTCTCACTTATCTTTCTATTTAAACTGTTTCTCTCGTTTCATTTTTTACGTGGAATATCATTCCATCAAGTTGAATTTTATTTGTTCAAATCATTACAAATCATTATATTCAACATGACAAATTGATAATTGCTATAACTAGGCATTGCAAATAAATTGCTATAGCATACAGTCAGATGATGTTTAAAAACTACAAATTACGGGCCGAAATCGCGAGGGCGCGCAGAGTTCTCTCCAGGCAGAGAGAGAGTGAGAGAGTGAGGAGAAACTAGGTCAAAAACTAGTTTAAACGTTCCTTTTTCGTTGTAACAGCGGGGTCTGATTTTTCGCAATTAAACACTGCGGGCTCCTTGCATTAAACACGTTCACCTCGCTTTCATCCCGCTACTCCATTCAATCTGCACACCCGCAGGATTTCTCTCACTGTAACATCTAACAGTTTCGACAGATTCTCGACGATCCTTCGTGTCCTTTTTCTCCCGATAAATCACCAAGCTTGCTCGAGCATTAATACATCCTGTGCTCTCTCGTTTTCGAAACGTCAACATATTTGAACTCTGAAACGAGGAAGCGTAATACGCTTCTTCTGAACGTTTGGAATCAAAGAGCATTAATTGTCGATAACATAAAAAGTTATATCATGAATTCGAACGAACAAGCTGGATATTAGAACGAGACAATGAGATTTTATTGGTGCAAGTTACGAATTACTGATTTCACTCCGTGTTTCACGACAAAGGTTCGTTAAATGTTATTAGTTCGTAAATCATTACAGAAACGACTGTCTATGCGTGTCGAATGTATGTTAGTATTTTTAAAGCTGTACGTCGATTGATTCGCTTATCTACGTGCAAGCAATCCAAGCGAAAACATCGAATGACTGACGACGCGGGAGTGCACTTACTGCGTAATTATACATCCGCGTGATGCATCGTCGTCCTAAATGAGAGCATGTGTGCTCGGCATACATGTCTACGTTCTCAATACACGTAATTAACCGATCTAAATCGTTTCACCCAGCGTTCACCGACGTTGGGGGGAAAAAACCAAAACTGAAATTATCGATGGCGAAGTTGGCGATCGTTGATCGTAGATCACTGTGTTGCTGACAACAACTCATCGCTGTTGGCCGGTGGAGACAACACAGTTGTAATCGTGGAAAATTGGGAGATAATTGAAATAAGCGGAACACCAATTTGCCGCGATAAAATCATAATTGCGGCGGAATGGCTCACGCTTACGTTAATAAGAGATGATTGGTTTAATGTTCAGTTGCTGTGTTCTATGACGTATGCCGCTTATGGTCTCATTTTTTCTGCGTATCTCGCTCAGTTAGAATCCATCTGGGAAACGGATGCATTTCGTTAAGAATTTTCGCGCGACGTTCAACTAAGAAATTGGTAATCTTTGAAAATCCAGAATTTATTGTCTGGATCCGTTAACAACTCTCATATATTATACTTGTTCTGGCAAACCGCAACGCACGTCGATGATTGCTTCAAACTTATTTAGAAGGATATAATTAACAAAATGCTATATCATTTTTGATGCTTCGTAAATAAATTGCTGGCAGACGATACAAAAGAAGTTTGTTAAAGTAATCGTGTATATGGTAATTTCATGACGAGTTTCATAGAATACGTAAAATATAATGGTAACTATGTATACTATCGCACTGTACAGCACTCTCGAGGAAGCTTCGTCTTAGATAAAGCGCGGGCTTAAAGGGAACTTGGCGAGAACAGCCGGTAATTAAAAATCGTTGTTACGGATTCGAATAACTTATTCTTTCGAAACTTTAGATTGGAAAAATGTATGAAGTTCGGAGCAAGTCCGGCCGATAGGGAACTTTTAATTTCAATTCTGACCCGATAAATAAAGGAGAAACTTCGATTTACATACTTATTCAACTTTCACACTTGTTACGCTAATTTCCCGACACGCTTCGACGTAACGAGCATAGTCGCGCGAACAAAGCTCAAGGTGTTGTGTTTACCGGTGATTTAATTAGACTGCCAGAGTTTTGCGCTCAATAATGAACGTAACGTTCCCGCGGTCCTTCTTAAGCATCGGGCATTTATAACGTTTCATTAAAAGACGAGGACGAAGACAACAAACAATGATTCACCGGTTTGGAAACTCTTTCGCTGATTTATAGATTCTTTCGCGCTGAATTTCTAACGAATTCTGGTTCATTTAAATGACAATAGAGCCTCGTAATTGCTGAAGATACATCAAAAGTTTCGCAATATTTTCTAAATTTATTGTCCCCGGTTCTTTGTCTCGGGTCTTGATATTCTTTTTTTCAAGTCGAGAACTTTCGATCAAGCGAAATCGCAACGTACAAAATTATAAGAGTCGCAGATGTTTCCAACCTTGCCTAAATGCCTAAGTATTTTTTTTTTTTTTTTTTCGTTGAAAATATTCCTGAATACTTCTTTGATTCACTATCAACACTTTCGAAA